TCGAGGAATCATAACCATTTTTGGGTGTTTTAAAGGTACAAGTGATCTCCAGTTGAGGATTTTTTCTTCTTTGAATTCTCGAAGTGTCATGAGCCACACGTATAAGGGAAATTAGTATTAGGCCGTCAGGAAGAGGCACGACTTCCCATTCCCAATCATGAAATTATGGATGTGAGCTATGTGTATATATGTGTATGTGTGTGTAAGAGAGAGAGAGAGGGGGAGAGAGAGAGAGAGAGAGAGAGAGAGAGAGAGAGAGAGAGAGAGAGAGAGAGAGAGAGAGAGAGAGAGAGAGAGAGAGAGAGAGAGAGAGAGTCTGTCTACATGCACATATATAAATCTGTATCTCCCTCTAGACCCTCCTAGCGCGCCCGTCATCACCGGGTACCGCAAGGAAGAGATCCTCCGCGCCGGCGACCGCCGCACCCTCAGCTGCCGCGCGAGAGGCGGCAACCCGCAGCCTTCGGTATCGTGGTATCGCAGCGGAGAACTAGTGGACGATACCTCCGCCAGGGACGCCACGGGGACAGTGAACACTCTCGACCTGGTCGTGACGTCAGAGGAGGACGGCGCCGCCTACGAGTGCCGCGTCTCCAACGAAGTGATGGAGGCGCCGCTCACGGCCAACGTCACGCTCACCGTCTACTGTGAGTTGTTGTCTTCTGTTCTGATACCATATGCATATGTGTATACGTGAGTACGTGTGTGTGTGTGTGTGTGTGTGTGTGTGTGTGTGTGTGTGTGTGTGTGTGTGTGTGTGTGTGTGTGTGTGCGTGCGTGCGTGCGTGCGTGCGTGCGTGTGTGTGTGTGCGTTCGTGTGTACTTACTTGTGGGCATGCATGCATTCAAATATGAACATAATTAATTCTACATAAAAAAAATATATATTTATGAACACAAACATCACACATTTTCCGCTAGTCTCTCTCTTTGTTCTTCAGAGTGCCAGGACAAAGACACTGCCCCTCCTTTCAGCAGTACAATCCCCTCCTCTTCTTTCAATAACACACAGCATATAAATGCACATCCCTCCCTTCTCCCTCAATAATATACACTTGAATGCTTGAGAACACTGAGACACACATATACAAATTCACGCACAAATAGACACACATACAGGCAGACATCCATTAACCCACGTTTTCCGTTCCTTGTTCGATAGCACACACACTAGGACACTTAAACTAGCAATACTTACAAAAAAATAAAAATAAATCGACACAAACGCACACACACACAGCAGCAATGACAATACTCGCACGCACATATGGATAGAATGTGAATACAAATATAAGTTCACAATAAAACAGAGTGAGAGAGAGAGAGAGAGAGAGAGAGAGAGAGAGAGAGAGAGAGAGAGAGAGAGAGAGAGAGAGAGAGAGAGAGAGAGAGAGAGAGAGAGAGAAAGAGCAAGCAAGAGCAAGCAAGAGCAAGCAAGCGAGAGAAAGACAGAGCAACCGTACGAACGGAGCGAAACGAACGAACGAACTAGAGAAATAAATGAATTAAAAATATATATATATCAAGACCCATCTCTCTCTCTCCGTGATGAGCATCCCCATCTTTCTCTCCCCCCCCTTCCCACCTCAACCAGACTCCCCCTCATCCGTGAGCCTAACGGGACCGAGCGAGATTGAAGAAGGAAAGCACATTACCTTTGCCTGCGAGACGAGCGAGTCGAACCCCCCGTCGTCTCTGCTTTGGACTGTGCAGGGTAAGGAAGTTTTCGTCGTGGATGGAGAGAAAACCTTTTTTTCTTTTTTAATGTGTTTTTTTTTATGGGTGTGTGTGTTTATTTTGGATGGGTGGATGGATGGAGGGACGAAAGGGTTGGTGGGTGGGCAGATGAATGGTTGGATGGATGGAGGGATGGAGGGAGGGAGGTAAGGAGGGAAGGAGGGATGGAAGGATGGTTGAATGGGTTGGTGGATCGATGGATGGATGGATGGGTGGGTGGGTGAATGGAGGGATGGATAGACGAATGGATGGAATGATGGATGGATGGGTGGGTAGGTGCTTATGTATGTATGTAGCTATGTATATATGTGCGTATGTATGTATGTAGTTATGTATATATGCTTGTAGGTATGAATTCGTGAGTGGGTAGATGGATGGATAAAGAGATGGATACATGTTAGGATGGCTAAACAAATAGGAAATTGGACGAATAGACGGGCGGATGAATGGATGGATGGATGGAGTTGCTTGTGTGTGTGTCTACCCATGTATATATAATCATAATTAATGTACATGTGTCAGACATGTAAACTCACTCTCTTCCTGTTTTGACTTTTTTTTTTTATTTTCTTTATTTTTTCACTTTTTATCCTGAAGCTTGGATGCTGATAAGTCTGATATCAGTGTTTTTTTTTATCATAGTCATTATAGAACTGAGATAAATTACTGTGCCAACAGAAAATGAATTCAGAAGAACTGACAAAACTTGTAACTGTATAATTAACTTTTTTTTACTGGAACTGTTGTTAAAATTAACTTTAATGAAGAAAGGGAAAACTTGATATTCTTTAACGAGTATGTGTGAAGATATACATAGATAGACAGACAGACACAGACAGACAGACAGAAAGATAGATAGACAGATAAATGGATAGACAGATAGACATATAAACAGACAGATAAATAGGCATATAGACAGATAGATAGGCATATAGACGATAGATAGGCATATAGACAGATAGATATGCATATAAACAGATAGATATGCATATAGACGTATAGATAATCATATAGACAGATAGATAGGCATATAGACAGATAAACAGATAGACAGGTAGATAGACAGATAAATAGTCAGATAGATAGACAGATAGATAGACAGATAGATAGCCAGATAGATGGCCAGATAGATAGCCAGATAGATAGCCAGATAGATAGACAGATAGATGGACAGATAGACGGATAGGTAGACAGAGATAGATAGACAGATAGACAGATAGAACGATAAAACGATAGACCGACTGACTGATAGATAGATAGATCGATAGAACGATAGACCGATAGCCAGATAGATTAATAGATAGCCAAATAGATTAATAGATAGACAGATAAATTAATAGACAGGCAGACAGATAGGTAGACAGATAAATTAATAGATAGACAGACAGACAGATAGGTAGACAGATAGACAAATAAATTAATAGATAGACAGATAGACAGATAAATTAATAGATAGACAGACAGACAGATAGGTAGACAGATAGACATATAAATTAATAGATAGACAGACAGACAGATAGATATAGAGAGAGACAGATAGACAGTCAGACAGATAGACAGACAGACAGATAGATATAGAGAGAGACAGATAGACAGTCAGACAGATAGACAGATAGACAGATAGACAGATAGACAGGCAGATAGACAGACAGACAGATAGACAGACAGATAGACAGACAGATAGACAGACAGATAGACAGACAGATAGACAGACAGATAGACAGACAGATAGACAGACAGATAGACAGACAGACAGACAGATAGACAGACAGATAGACAGACAGATAGACAGACAGATAGACAGACAGACAGATAGACAGACAGATAGACAGACAGATAGACAGACAGATAGACAGACAGATAGACAGATAGACAGACAGATAGACAGACAGATAGACAGACAGATAGACAGACAGATAGACAGACAGATAGACAGACAGATAGACAGATAGACAGACAGATAGACAGACAGATAGACAGACAGATAGACAGACAGATAGACAGACAGACAGACAAACAGACAGATAGACAAATTTACAGATTGACAGATACACAGATAGACAGACAGATAGACAGACAGATAGACAGACAGATAGACAGACAGATAGACAGACAGATAGACAGACAGATAGACAGACAGATAGACAGACAGATAGACAGACAGATAGACAGACAGATAGACAGACAGATAGACAGACAGATAGACAGACAGATAGACAGACAGATAGACAGACAGATAGCAGACAGATAGACAGACAGATAGACAGACAGATAGACAGACAGATAGACAGACAGATAGACAGACAGATAGACAGACAGATAGACAGATAGATAGACAGACAGATAGACAGACAGATAGAAAGATAGACAGATAGAAAGATAGACAGATAGAAAGATAGACAGATAGAAAGATAGACAGATAGAAAGATAGACAGATAGAAAGATAGACAGATAGAAAGATAGACAGATAGAAAGATAGACAGATAGAAAGATAGACAGATAGAAAGATAGACAGATAGAAAGATAGACAGATAGAAAGATAGACAGATAGAAAGATAGACAGATAGAAAGATAGACAGATAGAAAGATAGACAGATAGAAAGATAGACAGATAGAAAGATAGACAGATAGAAAGATAGACAGATAGAAAGATAGACAGATAGAAAGATAGACAGATAGAAAGATAGACAGATAGAAAGATAGACAGATAGAAAGATAGACAGATAGAAAGATAGACAGATAGAAAGATAGACAGATAGAAAGATAGACAGATAGAAAGATAGACAGATAGAAAGATAGACAGATAGAAAGATAGACAGATAGAAAGATAGACAGATAGAAAGATAGACAGATAGACGGATAGACGGATAGACAGATAGAAAGATAGACAGATAGAAAGATAGATAGAAAGATAGACAGATAGAAAGATAGACAGATAGACAGATAGACAGATAGACAGATAGAAAGATAGAAAGATAGACAGATAGAAAGATAGACAGATAGCAAGTAAAATCAATCAAGCAGTTATATCGAAAAGTATACCTTAATCTATACATCTTACGCCCCGCCCACAATCCTTCATCCCAACAGGAAAGGTGCTGAACAACGTGAAAGAACGGGTCAGCAGGGTCAGTTCAGGTGGCTGGGTGACCTCATCTGAACTGACCCAGTATGTCGTCAAGTCGCACAGAGAGACGGAGGTGTCGGTGGAGTGCAGAGCTGTGAACCCCGCCATCGATCGCGTTGTTAAGAAGAAACTGGTCATTGGGATCACACGTGGGTGGAGCCTGTGTCTTTGTCTGTCTGTCTACCTCCGTTTCTTCCCTCTCTCCTCTCTCTCTCTCTCTCTCTCTCTCTCTCTCTCTCTCTCTCTCTCTCTCTCTCTCTCTCTTCTCTCTCTCTCTCTCTCTCTCTCTCTCTCTCTCTCTCTCTATATATATATATATATATATATATATATATATATATATATATCTTACTCTCTATCTCTTTATATCTATATATCTATTCATATCTATATACCTACCTATCTGTCTATCTGTATACCTATCTATCTATCGATCTACATATATATGTATTTACCAATACATGTGTGTGTTTATATTTATCTGCTTATTTACTTATTTATCTATCTATTTATAAGTCTACCTACCGAACCTTTCTAAATGTACATTACTCTGTCTTCCCAGAGCCCCCAGGTCCGCCGGTGCTGGAGGGAGACTTGAGCACCGAGGTCATAGCCGGGTCAACCCTCGACCTCAAGTGCAGTAGCATGGGAGGTCATCCTCCTCCGACAGTCAGGTAAATAACAGAAAATGGTCGAAAATTCCCTTACGAATATCTGATATACTACAAAGTTATCATATACTCGTGTTCATAAACGTACAGACAATATCACTTCATACACAAAAGCACGCACAAAAAGATGTCCACATACTCACACTTAATATGTGACATTAGGTGTACATACATACCGCTTCATACTTCTACTTCTCCCTCGTTTCCCGGAAGAATATACAAGGAAGACAAGGAGATCTTCACGAGCATCTTGAGGAAGGATAACGTGACTCAGGCCAGAGGAAAGATCGAGGTCTCGCCCGTAGATAACGGGTCAAAGGTTACGTGTGTTGTGACGAGCTCGGCCAGCAGGGCGCCTCTGCTAACGTCCGCTACGCTCACTGTGCTCTGTAAGTTCTGCTTTGAAGGGAAGGCTGCTTTCGGTTTGTTTATATATGTGCACACACACATATACATATATGTGTGTGTGTGTGTGTGTGTGTGTGTGTGTGTGTGTGTGTTTATGGAGCTAGTTAGATCCTAGTTGCGTACTCCTTTTAGTGGATCGTAGGGTATGGTTGATTTAGTACTGGTCCTTCGGTTCCATACCCAGAATGACCTAAGTTCGAGGCCCGGTCAGTGAGAGTTGATATATATATGTGTGTCTGTGCGTAAAGTAATTTCATATGATAGGTACAATATTATATAATATAATACATTATAATATGATATAACGTAATATAATATCATATAACATAACGTAACGATATGTAATATAATATAACATATAGGTGCATGTGCCTTTGTGTATGTCTGCATGCATGTATGTACAAATTTATTAACATACCCAATAACAATAACTATAAAAAACACTGCTATAACACCAGTAATGAAGGTCTAATTAACAACAATGAAAGGAAACTGATCGTAATGATAGCAAACGAACAAGGACCACGATAACGCTAGTGTCCTTATGTCTGTCTGTCAACACGTGCACACCTCAATTAGAGAAATTCGACTCCATCATTAGTAATTTTCAAACGACTTAGTATCACATCATTTAACCATAAATGACAGAGTAATGAAGAATGCCACTCCTATTCAATATCCGAGAAGACTTTGTCAGACCGAAACAAAGACGCCAGTTTCTCCCAATTAGGAACCCTCGTCTCCTTAATTAACAATTGCTTAGTATTCTTGTACAATGTGGGATTATTATTTCTTACGACTTGCTGCCATTAAAGTTTCGTTCGCGTCCGCCCCCTTGATTTAACGAAGGATTATGTAACAATTTACTACGTAATAAGCATGGTAATATCCTCTCTCTGTTTATGTTCATGTATTTCTGCGTTTCGTATCGATTTAATTACAATATTTTTTTTCAATCATTTCCATTATCGATTATTAGTGCCTCGTTTCTTCGTCGTTATCTTATCATATTAAATGTTATCGGATCTATTATTATTTATTTTATCTGGGCTTCCTCTCCCCTCCTTTAGCGTGTTTCCTGGTAATCTCTCCGTCTTCTGTTCGTCGTTATCTTTTGCATGACTTGTCTCTGCATTTGATTGTCATGCATTCTTTTTCTTTTCTCTTTATCGAGTTATCTCTCTTCTTCCATATCTGTTTCAGTCTCTCTTTGTCTCTATCTGTCTGCCCCCCCCCCCTCTCTCTCTCTCTGTCTCTCTCTCTGTCTCTCTGTCTCTCTCTCTCTCTCTATATATATATATCTTCTCTCTCTCTCTCTCTCTCTCTCTCTCTCATATCTCTCTCTCTCTCTCTCTCTCTCTCTCTCTCTCTCTCTCTCTCTCTCTCTCTCTCTCTCTCTCTCTCTCTCTCTCTCTCTCTCTCCCTCTCTCTCTCTCTCTCTCCCTCTCTCTTTTTTCACTATTCCTCCTTTCCAACTTTTCTCCCATACTCCACACTGTCCTCCCTTCTTTTTTTTACTTCCCCTTCACTACCCTACTATCCTCCTCCTCTCCTTCA